ATGATAATAATAAATAATTATGCATTACGCAGTCAAACGAATAGAATATTAAACTGCCACTTATTTTTCAAGAAAAGTAATACACAGCAGTAAGCTTTGAAAATAAGGTGTTTGCTATTTACGTCTTCGCCTTCCGCAATGCATACATTTCTGCTGTCTTTTGAAGCGCCTTTTCCCATCTTTCCAGACCAGCCGTTTGTCTGTGTCGGTAACAAAATGTTTATGTCGCACCACATGTAGTTTGTATTCTAGACATACTGAAAAATTGGTTTTGTGGCATTGTTTTCTTTCTTTGATTTTGCGGCTCTAAACGCTTGTGTGATGAAGTTTTTGATCAGTTTAGAAGTTTTTATTTACCAAATAGACGCACGAATTCAAGGACATAATGCCAAAGACTCCTTCATTGCCTCTTTCTGCTTCCGGGCGCAATTTTTTGACCCCATCGTCGTTTCGTTGTGTTTCTAGACTGTCTATCTGATACTTTTAGCAATCAAAAAGTGGTCAAATTCAGTTTCATTTATTTATTCTTGTGTTGATCTCTGTGGAGAACGACTAATCATTTCGAACACTTCATCAGATAGGATTCCACACATTTTTGAACAGAATTATATCTTCTGGTCAATTTTGCAAAATAAAGTTTACGCTTAGCTTACATTTTATATGCGTCCTAATTACTGATACTCAATAAAATACAGTAAAGGCAATGCACTGACAGAATGCACCAAAATACTAATAAAAAATATAAAAAGGATATGGTAATAGTATGCTGGTTCATCCGGGATATTGGGATGTATACCTGAAGTGTGTTGCAAAATTATATTTAACTTGAAAACAATAGAATCTATTACGCAAAATTTCAGGAAAAATTTCGCATCCTGCGCAGACTAAAATGCTACCTCAGAAAGGAGCCCACTAGGCTTACCGGTGCAATTATGCATTTCTGTACCAAACTTGAAACAAGCAGGTCGTTAGCTACGTGAATGATTGCTGTTTTACACTTGCCTTGTGCACTTACTAGCGGAAATCATAAATTTAGCATAAAGAAAGTGAACAATTCATTTTTAACGGTCGTTCCCTAAAAAGGACTTAGCTCCTCATTGAGCAATTTTCTTGCCAAAATTTTTACGTGCCCGTACGTGAGGACCATTTGTACCTGGAGGCTGAACTTGAAAGTTTTATGTTGCGCTTGGATGGAGGACATTGACCTAAAATTTCAGCTTTCCAGTTAGCAATTTTCCTTCCATAATTTCCACATTCTCGTACATGGGTAGCACGCTTATTGGGGAATTCGATTTGAAGTCTTTAAGTTGTACTTGGACGGAGAACACCTTTTAAAATTTCAGTCTCCCAGCTTTTCTAGTTGTCGAGTTAGCAATTCTCCCTCCAAAA